AAAAAACAAGTTTTTGGCTTTATTATAGCACATTGACAGCTATTTGACAGCTGCCAACTGTCAATTTTGAAAATCTAACAACAGATCTGAATTCAGCAACCTCAAAAATATAAACCTAGATAATAAAAAAAATGAAATAGGCTATTTCAAAAGTCTATACACACTGCGCATATACATAAATCCGTGGAGGATATTCGGAGCTTTAAAGCTCTGTACCGGCCAAACTATCCATTTTTGAGCTTTGTGGCCATTGAGACAATTGACCAGTATGATGAACTCTATCACATATCAAAAATTCAGCGAATTTGACCGGGACCCAATTTCCATAAGATTTGTGCGGGGTCCTTTGGTGACAATCGGTTAACTTTCAAAAATTCCGTCCGTCATCTTGATTTCGCCGCCATTTTGAAATTTTTGAAATGGCCAAGGTCATATCTAAACGTAAAATTTTCCACTCTTTCCATTTTCGTGGTCAAAAAGGGGGGTTCCCATTAAAGTCAGTGGTCAGTGGTCATAGCATGGCCACCATTGAATAGCCAGGGAAAAATAGGTACTAACTTTCCCTATATTTGGTTTTTCCGGAAAATGCATATCTCGCGTGATTTTTTTTAGGTTCCCATACTTGTATGCCACCCTGTATATGTAATGTATGTATATGTATATTTGGATTTATTTTTAGTATGCAGCGGCCGCAGTTGCTGTAGGGGGCAGTTCGGCGGCGGCGGCAGCAGCAAGTATACTATGTCACCCCCAATACCCTTTGGAATTTGCTGCGCTAGCAGTGGCTCACAAGAATTCCAGTATCGCCGACTTACGATTGAAGGCAAAAAAACACACGGAGGCATTGGGTCTCGCTTCGCGAGAAAAGCAGCAACATTGAAACGAAAAACGATTTTAGTTACCTACCTACCTATCTTAATTTCACTATTTATATTGTATTTAATACTTTATTATTATATGCGTCTATCCTGTTAATTTAACATTTATGGTGACTACGATGCGATCCCCTTACAATTGAGAATGTTGCGAGGATTTGTGAGATAATTATTTATTTATAAACTCCCATTATCAACAAAGGTTTTAAGGTATGTATTTAAAACTAAGGTGACCAGACGTCCTCCTTTCAGGAGGATTTTATCTTCCGTTCATGAGCTTTGTCCTCTTAGAGCTAGTGTAGTGTATGTAGTGTAGTGCAGTGTAGTGTAGAACTAGTCATATGTCCTACTTTCGGGCAATAGCGTCCTCCTGAGTACCCTTTTCGTCATAATTTAATAATATTCATATATAATTTTCATAAATCAACAAGCAAAATAATAAATAAAATCCAATTGAGATAGAATAGTGAAAAAGTACTTGGAAAAAATATTGAGTCTCTTCAGAAAACCTTTTGCAATTATTGTCTTAATAGATATAAAAAAGAGTAGTGCAGATTAGCATTCTTTTTGTAATTTATGGAAGTCACCGAGTGGGTATATGTAAAATTGCAAAAAATTTAAATGACTGATAACAGCTTTTCCGACCGGAGAACGCACTAAACGATTGATGTTCCAATTACATGCCTACATCAAAAACGATTTAAACTGAACAAATTTCAGTTGAGCCCTGAAAGGCGTACTCAGAAAAAGAGCGTACCTCATGCAGAATTCCCAAAGTAGTGATACTTTGCCCCAGGGCTCAAATGAATTTGGTTTATCTGTACCTAAATGAAATATAAGTCCATGCCCACCTACCTCCCCAACCATTTTCAAAATTCTGGTCACCACCATATTAAAACAATTCATCCACATTATAACTGGAAAAGCAATGTTTAAGTAGGTATGCGATCTTTTAATATTCCCTGATTTAACACAACAATATGTATCCACTCAATAAGTACCTACATTTACAATATGTATAATTAATAGCGTTTTCAACCTTATTCCAGGCATTATTCGATTCTTTGATATTATAATATAATTTGTTTTTACTTATTTTGTCTTTGTTAGAATCAGTTACCATAGTAAGTTATTAGTTGATATTGTTGAAAATAAAAATGATACAGCTATGTATGTATATGTAAATGTAAATATATTTTTATTATTTAAATTTAGAATGATAATATTAATTATTAGATTACGTATAATATACCTATATACACATGTCAATCCTCATTTTTTATTTTAGATAAAAGGTATATTAGGGCATAATAAATAAGAAAAAATATAAAAAAAACAACTATAATTTTCTGGTGATATCTAGAAACATTTATTTCCTGCATAAAATTACATTCAAAAAATATATACCTAAGCTACCTTCTTTTTAGAAGATAGCTTTAATCGATTCGGGCTGTGCTGACCACAGACGATTGAAATAAATTTTCTGTAATATTTGAAATGACAGCGTTGTGCATTATTGGTTTACGATATATTGAATTAGAACCCTCTTCCCTGTTCCCCGCACGTCATGAGTAATTACGAGTTCTGCGCTCGTTGATTGGATCTAATTCGATTAGTGGCCATACTGTGGCACTGCAAACAAGGGTCAAGAGCAGTGAGCTTTATAATCTTATGATTTAAATCATTTTCTATTAGATTTCAAAGCGTCATCTGATAAACTATTGTTTTGGTGCAAAACAGAACCTGATGCGACTGATGCAGAATAACATGCAGATATTTTAAGAGGCGATTGCTAAGACAAAATGAAGAAAACTTAATGTGAACATGAGGTCTAAAATGTTTTGTTTTCAATATAGATTTTGTTCACAGTTGAACTCTAAAGATGGTTATTTCGATATATTCGAAACGCATATCAGCCATTTCAGCATCTGAAAAATTAACCATTACATTTTTACTCAACCTAAGAGTTTTGTTGTAGATAAACAGAAAACGGCAACAATACTGGAACAATATTGATGTCAAATTGTATTTCAAATAAGACGAAATGTAATAAAGAATCCTAATATCCGCATGCACACAGCCCACTAGATTTAATTTAAAATTCCATAAATAAAAATGCATTTAAATGATTTTACTCAAAAAACGATGCATCTCAGTGCCACGACATAAAAATCCATTTTGATCCGCGGAACCCTAAATTAATGGCCAATCTAGAAGACACATACATACTCTCAACTTCTGCCACTCGCTTCTTACCTTCTTATAAGAGTTTGTTTCAATTTGCTTCTTTTAACAGTTTGTTTCAGTATGTAGGTAACAGTTTTTAGTCTGTCAAATTTGGAATATGGCGTGGTATATATTAAATTGTCGATTTACTAAGACCCACTGACTTTCAGCCAATGTAAATAAAAAATCCATTTGTTGATATTTCAGAATTAAAAAATACGACAAATTTTAAAGTATGTACCTACTACTTGACTTGGCCCGAAGTAGATTTGCGAGTCATGTATTAGCTCGGAAAGTGAGAGACTATGGAGCTTCTATTAACAGTCTATTAACGCACTTATTATTAGTTAAAAAAAAAATACAGTTTGGGTATATATTTGGTGGGACACGTCTACTAGACCAGCCGTTCGTAACATTTTTATTTATTGATCTATTTTAGTTCGCATAGATGGCGCCAGCTTTACTTAAGTTTTGTAAATAACAAAGGCTATTACGGTATTCTTTTCACTGCACATAATGTTATGAGCTTGAAAATAGAAGCAAGTAGAAGAGAATGATAACTTCTCCCTGGCACACGATCGATTGAGATATTACAGTCAACGACACAAGCAAGAGTTAGTGATCCATTAAAAAGGAATGCAGTTTTACAGAGAGCCAATAGATGGCAGATGGCTGTTGCAGCCTTACGGCCCCTAACAGTTTATTCAAAGTGGAAGGAATCGAGGATACGGATACGGCCGACATCTTTCGACAAAAATTTCGCATTCTGTTATACTAAAAGCCACGATGCTATCGTGAATTCAACCAACAACTGGCTTATTGTCTAATTATGACTGCGCAAAATGTAGTAAAAAGATGGTGCTACTGCTATGCGATAAAGTGGACCGAACGAAAATTTATATTAATTTAAGCAGGACAATTTTAAACTATACTAGCAAATATCAAAGTCAATGCAAATGCAGAAAAACTGATAAAAAAACCTATTAGGAAAACACTGTTCTAAATTCTTCGAATTAAAAATAAAAAAGCAAAACAAACTTATAATGGGTAGGTATCGAAGTCAAGTAAGTATAAACAAACGAATTAGCAATAAGCAGTTTTACACGGTCAAAGAAATCTGGAAAATTTTTTTATCTTTCAATAATAAATTACTGTATATAACTACCTAATACACAAAATTGCCATCCATTTATTGAAGACAATAAATTCAAGAAGAAATTCCATGGCTATTTTTTTCAACAAATTTTTTTAGTGAATTCTGGTTTTCATTTTGATATAAAGATTTAATGCCAACAGTGTTCGTGATAAAAATCACTAAATGTGATTTAAATAGGTCCGGCCGGATCCTCTTGGACTTATTTATTAACTAAAGTTAGTGGTACTAAATGAACCTCAATTATTAAAATTATTAGAAGTTGGTATTACACAAACTTTAATATTCAAAATTGGCCAGACTGACAAGTGACTACAGATTATAGATGCGTTCGCTCGCGCACGCAGATTAAAATTAAAATAAAGAGGAGGACACATCTATGCGATCACAATCGATCACAAAGTGTTAATCATCATCTTCTTTCCACTTTAGTGACAATGCAAGATTACCTAATCTCTTTATGAGTATTTTTATTATGGGGCAATATAGGTATAATTTTACAATTAAATAAAATAAAGCATGTTTACCTCCTCTAGATAAATATGCATCTGTGTTATAGGTAAAAAAGCAAATGACTGAAAAATTTTTTAGCTTTAATATTTATTCTAATTATAGCACCTTTGAGTAAACAGACTGATTGTATTATAATTACCTAAATATTTTAGACAGTAATAACATTCTAAATTCCATAGAAATTATTTTCTTTGCTCAATGCTCCTACATTGTTAAAAGCTAATGATAAGTTAACCAAAACTCAATTAAAATTTAGCTGAGAAAAAGCTGAATACGAAAAATTGAATCAATTATTTAGTAAATACACTAAACCGCGGATAATCTGGTGTATATTTGTTTTTATAAAACCTATTTATTTATATTGTTTGTTTATTTTTCCTCAGTATTCTAGAAACAGTTTCTTATGTTGTGTGTTTTGGTATGCAGGTGACAAAGAGCGCATATTTTAAATTCATAACTGATGCCATTCCTGTTATTTACTGACGTAGTGACGTAGTAAAATATTTCTTTTAAATTATAAATGATTCAAATGAATCTGGTATCTGTCTAAATTTGATATTGGACTTAATTAGAGCTAATACGGCCCTGATGAAAGTGGAAAAATTAAATGAGAAAGAAGAGAGACAACTAACTACACAACTAAATGTATTTCTCCCTACCCAGACCAGGGGCTTCCTATTCGTTGGTTTGCGTCAGCCGACTTGTCTCGTCATCGACATATAAAATTAAAGAGAACAAATTATAATTTCTAACTCGCATTCGGGGACTGAGTGTTTGTATTTGCACAAGGCTGTGGCTGTTATTTTATTTATTAAGAAATTTCGGTGTTGTGAACTAATTTTCCAAGCGAATGGATCTAGCGTTGAGTGATACTTTAACAAACATGAATAGTTATCCAGAAAATATAACAACAAGCCTAGAAAACAGCAGGTTAGTACACAGGTATATATATA